TGCCCGAGATGGCGGTGCCCGAGGTGCGACTGCCAGAAGTGCAGCTGCCAAAGGTGTCAGAGATCCGGCTGCCGGAAATGCAAGCGCCAAAGGTGCCAGATGTGCAGCTTCTGAAGGCACCTGAGATGAAGCTGCCCAAGGCTCCAGAAGCGCAGCTAAAAGCTGCCAGGGCAGAGAAGGCAGAGGGGGTGGAATTTGGCTTCAAGATGCCCAAGATGACCATGCCCAAATTCGGGAGGGCAGGGTCCCCGTCACGAAGCAAGTCAGGCGAGGCAGGGGCTGAGGTCTCAGGGAAACTGGTGACGCTTCCCTGTCTACAGCCAGAGGTGGACAGCGAGGCTCATGTGGGCGTCCCCTCTCTCACACTGCCCTCCGTGGAGCTAGACCTGCCAAGAGTACTCAGCTTGGAGGGGCAGGTTCCAGTGGCTGACGTGGGCAAGGTGGAGCGAGCAGAAGGCAAGGCAGCACAGGCAGAGGGCAAGGTGGAATGGGCAGAGGGCAAGGTGGCAGCGGGGGTTGGGGAAGTGGCCTTCCGGATGCCCTCTGTTGAGATCGTCACTCCACAGCTGCCCACAGTGGAAGTCGAGGAAGGGAGGGTAGAGATGATGGAGATGAAAGTCAAACCCACCTCCAAGTTCTCCCTGTCCAAGTTCGGACTCTCGGGGCCAAAGGTGGCCAAGGCAGAGGCTGAGGGCGCTGGGCGAGCCACCAAGCTGAAGGCATCCAAGTTCGCCATCTCACTCCCCAAGGCTCGGGTGGGGACTGAGGTTGAAGCGAAAGGGGTCGGGGAGGCAGGCCTGCTACCCGCTCTCGATCTGTCCATTCCGCAGCTCAGCCTGGATGCCCATCTGCCCACAGGCAAGGTGGAGGCGGCAGGGGCCGATTTCAAGCTCAAGGGTCCGAGGTTCACCCTGCCCAAGTTTGGGGTCAGAGTCCGGGACACTGAGGCTGGAGAACTAGTGCCAGGGGTGTCCGAGTTGGAGGGCAAGGGCTGGGGTTGGGATGGGAGGGTGAAGATGCCCAAACTGAAGATGCCCTCCTTTGGGCTGGCTCGGGGGAAGGAGGTAGAAATCCAGGGTGGGCGTGTTAGCCCGGGAGAAAAGGCAGAATTGATGGTCGGGCAGCTTAAGATCCCTGAGGTGGAACTGGCCACTCTGGGGGCCCAGGAGGAAGTGGGGGCAGAGGGGGCGGTGGCTGTCAGTGGAGCACGGCTATCAGGCCTGCAGGTGTCCACAACCAGGCAGGCAGGCACTGAGGGCCAGGAGGGGGTGCGAAGGATGCCCCTGGGCATCTCTCTGCCTCAGGTGGAGCTGACCAGATTTGGTGAGGCTGGCCTGGGTGCCACCTCGGGGCAGCAGGCTGAGAGTGCAGCCCCTTCAGCAGAGGGCACAGCAGGCTACAGGGTCCAGGTGCCTCAGGTGACCTTGTCTCTGCCTGAAGCCAAGGGAGAGGATGGTGAGCTGTTGGTGGGAGAGGGCGTCTTCAAGATGCCCACTGTGACCGTGCCCCAGCTTGAGCTGGATGTGGGGCTGAGCCGAGAAGTGCAGGTGGGTGAGGCAGCCACAGATGAGGGTGGGCTGAGGCTAAAGATGCCCACATTGGGGGCCAGAGCTGGGGCTGGGGTCGGGGGACCTGGAGACCAGCCCCCAGGGGCCGAACGATCCTTCCACCTTTCACTGCCCAACCTGGAGCTCTCGCCTCCTGCCATGGGCAGCCACGCTGAGTACCAGGTGGTAGAGGGTGAGGGAGACGCTGGACACAAGCTCAAGGTTCGGCTGCCCCGGTTTGGCCTGGTGCGGGCCAAGGAGGGGGTTGAGGAGGGCGAGAAGGCCAAGAGCCCGAAACTCAGGCTGCCCCGTGTGGGCTTCAGCCAGAGCGAGGCTGTTGCTGGGGAAAGCTCCCCCAGCCCTGAGGAGGATGATGATGAGGAGGAGGAGGGCAGCAGGGAAGGCGCTTCTGGTCGCCGTGGCCGTCTACGAGTTCGCTTGCCTCGAGTGGGCCTGGCTACTTCTTCCAAGGCCTCTCGGGGGCAGGAGGGCGAGGCAGCCTCCAAGTCCCCTGGTGGGGAGAAGTCCCCCAAGTTCCGGTTCCCCAGGGTGTCCCTAAGCCCCAAGGCCCGGAGTGGGAGCAGGGACCGCGAAGAGGGTGGATTCCGGGTCCGACTGCCCAGCGTGGGGTTTTCGGAGACAGGAGCTCCAGGCCCCACCAGGATGGAGGGGACTCAGACTGCTGTCATCTGAAGCCCCAGGACAGAGGGAGACTTCCCTCCTGTCTTCCCCTCCCCACCCCTTTTGTGTGTGAGTTAACCAGCACTAACCCTCAGAGGGCCAGGAGCCGCGGAGGCCTCCTGCCTGGCTCATTGGCAAGAGTGTATCTTGCCAAGCCATGTGAATAAATAATCCAGAGGTAGCCTTGTGTCTGGCCTTCTCTGTGTATTGGGAGGGGGTGTGTGTGTGTGTGTGCGCAGGGGAGGGGGGGGTGTAGGGGAGGGTGCAGAGAAAAGAATCCCAGAGAAGGAAGGAAGGGGGACATGATCCTGGGCTGAAGGAGCCTGTGTAGGCAGACACAGGCCACCTCTGGTCTGAGGAGAGTCAGGGAGGCCTTGGGATGGGCGTAGTGGGAGGGGGGCCTGTCCTAGCCCTTCAGAAATCCCAGGGGCCCCTGAGCAGGACTCTGGGAAGTTCCCCAGCAGAGCATAGCAGCAGGACTCCTCTGCTGGGGACTCCGCCTGCCCTGGGGAACCCCGCACTGGCCAGGACAACCCCAGGGGCCCTAAGAGAGCAGACTGATTGCTACCCACCTGCCCTCTGCTGGCCACTTCACCAACAACAGCGCCTCTGCATCCTGCTGTGCCTTTTCCGTCTGGCTGGTTTGACAGCCTGGTCCACCCGGCCCCACCCAGGAAGGCCTCTCCTGGCCTCTCCAAGCTCCTGGGTTCAGAGCCTCCACTCAAGACATTTGGTTGCCTCCTAGGACTAAGTCCTAGGGGCTCAATCTCGGCTCCCAGGGACCCAACCTCACTCTGGATTTATGCCCCTAAGCTCCTGCCAGGGCCTACAGACACCCTCCCCCCATCTCTCTGCCATGCCCCAGACTAGTAGGAAGACCTGTTTTCCCATTCCAAATCTCCCCCTGATGCCCCCATACCCACTCCTCCACTCTATTCCCATCCCAGAGGATGAAGGGCCATGCCCTTGAGTTGTCACAGACCCTCCACTTACTCCAGTACCTTCTCCCTTCAAGCCTTCCCCCCTCAGGTCACTACCCTGTCTCATGCTTTCTCTTTGTCTCCACCAAACATGCAGGGGTTATCTGCCCTCATGGCACCCACACCCCTTGACCAGCTCAGCTCTGTAGCATGTGGGGTTTTCCTCCAACAATGGCTACCCCGTCCAGTGTCTGAAGTGACTTCTCTGTGATCACACTAAGGGCTTCCTCTGTCTCCCTTGTCCTGACTTCTCAGGCCCCTTCCTCCTTCCTGAACACTCTCCTCTCTTCTCCACTCCTCTCTCTCCTTGTGCCCTTTGGGCTCATCCACTCCCACACCCATCCTAGGCCCGTCACCCTCCCGGAGGCTTCTGCTCCTCACCTCTGGGTGACAGTTCCCAAATTCTTTCCTGGGTGCATGAGGGGATCCACTGGCCTCCACATGCCTCCCCTGGACATCTCCTGAGCACTTGGAGGATGTGTGGGGTAGTGGTTCAGAGCTTGGCTCTAGAGCCAGACTTCTCAAGGTCAAAGCCTATCTCTGGCACCCAACTTTTTTTTTTCAATTAAATGGAGCTATTAAAATGTATGGTGTGCCCAGCCAGCATGGCTCAGTGGTTGAGCACTGACCCATGAAACAGGAGGTCATGGTTCAATTTCTGGCCAGGGTACATGCCTGGGTTTTGGGCTCGATCCCCAGTGGGGGACGTGCAGGCGGCAGCCAATGGATGATTCTCATCATTGATGTTTCTGTCTCTCTCTCCCCCTCCCTTCCACTCTGAAATAAATCAAAACAAACAAACAAACAAAAAATAAAACATGTGTTGTAAGGATAAGGCTTCTAAAGCACTCAATATTAAATTCCCTAACCTGATCTTAGCATCCTCTCCTCCAAAGTGCTTCTGTCCATGTCCCCATTTCTGGGACACCTCCCTCCTCCCCCCCCAAACTTTTCAGTCCCTTAGCCTGCCCTCCTGGCCTCCTGGCCTCCTGAATGCCTCATCCACAAGCCTCTTGCCTGTCTCCCCAACCTCTCCCGCCTGGGCCTGCTCCAGGCTCAGGGCCTCCACTCTCGCCCCTTCTGATTCAGCTTTCTTCACACAAGTAGCTTTCTGACACTCAAAAGCCCTTCTGTGTCTCCCCAGTGCCCTCAGAACAACGTCCCAAAACTCCTTAGCTTGGCACTCAACCTGAATCCACCTTGGCCACACCTTCCCCCATGTCAGCCACAGGCTGGGGCAGGTATTTTCTGAAAACAAACACACACACACACACACACACACACACACACACACACCCCTTTCGCCAGGAAAACCTGCCTTTTCTCACCTGTTTGGGAATGTTCCTTGCTTCTGCCTGAGGTCCACCATCAGACTCCCCTCTCAATGGATCCTTTACTTGTCCAACCTCTTCAAGATTCCGCCACTGGGTGGGGGAGGGGGTTTGACCTGCCACCCCACCCCCATTCCAGCGAGGGGCTCAGGTCTCCAACAACAGAACCGGAGCCACTTAGCAACGCTGGAACCCATTTGGGGGGGCCTGGGGCCCCTCGTCCCAAGCCAGGAGGGCTTTGGGGGAGGGGTGCAACTCTTGGCACATTCCCCGTGTGGCCCAGGGGGTTGTGAGGTGCCCAGGAGGTGAGGGCAGACCTCACAGGGGTAGTAGGCACGAGTGACGCTCTCTTTCCCCCACTGGGGGTACTTCGGGGACAGCGGCAGAGGAGGGCCAGGAGGCCTTCGAGACAGAGGTGGGGCAGAGGCGGTGGCAGGGCGGTGTCTGGCGGCCGGGGCGCCATGGCCACCATCCAGTCAGAGACTGACTGTTACGACATCATCGAGGTGCTGGGCAAGGGCACCTTCGGGGAGGTGGCCAAGGGCTGGCGGCGAAGCACGGGCGAGATGGTGGCCATCAAGATCCTCAAGAACGACGCCTACCGCAACCGCATCATCAAGAACGAGCTGAAGCTGCTGCGCTGCATGCGGGGCCTGGACCCCGAGGAGGCCCACGTCATCCGCTTCCTCGAGTTCTTCCACGACGCCCTCAAGTTCTACCTGGTGTTCGAGCTGCTGGAGCAAAACCTTTTTGAATTTCAGAAGGAGAACAACTTTGCGCCTCTCCCTGCCCGGCACATCCGCACGGTCACCCTGCAGGTGCTCAGAGCCCTGGCCCGGCTCAAGGAACTGGCCATCATCCACGCCGACCTCAAGCCCGAGAACATCATGCTGGTCGACCAGACCCGCTGCCCCTTCAGGGTCAAGGTGAGGGGCCGCCCGGGGTGGCAGCATCTCCTGTCCTGTCTCCTCCCAGCCTTCCCCAGCCCTGGGCGCTCTGGTTGTGAGGAGCAGGAAGACAGTGAGGGGTGACCGCCCCAGTCCAGGTGGGAGACATGGTGGGCGGGACTAGACATGTGGGGGGGAGTGGGAGGAGGGGCACGGTGGGTCTGAATAGGTTTTGGAAATGGAGACAACAGGGTTTGCTGATGGATCTGATATGAAGTGTAAGAGAGGACTTGAGGGGGCACAAAAGCCTGTTGGCCTGAGCAACTGGAGGATGGCAGTGCCATACCTCGTCACAGTGAGTTTGCTTGTCAACAAACACTTTCTGAATGTCTGCTCTGGGCTTGAACCTGGGCTTGCCCATCCCACCCCGACCCTGTCAGAGCTCCTGGGCTCCCCCATCCCACCCCGACCCTGTCAGGGCTCCTGGGCTCCCCCACCCCACCCCGACCCTGTCAGGGCTCCTGGGCTCCCCCACCCCACCCCGACCCTGTCAGGGCTCCTGGGCTCCCCCATCCCACCCCAACCCTGTCAGAGCTCCTGGGCTCCCCCACCCCACCCCGACCCTGTCAGGGCTCCTGGGCTCCCCCATCCCACCCCGACCCTGTCAGAGCTCCTGGGCTCCCCAATCCCACCCCGACCCTGTCAGGGCTCCTGGGCTCCCCCATCCCACCCCAACCCTGTCAGAGCTCCTGGGCTCCTCCATCCCACCCCGACCCTGTCAGAGCTCCTGGGCTCCCCCACCCCACCCCGACCCTGTCAGGGCTCCTGGGCTCCCCCACCCCACCCCGACCCTGTCAGAGCTCCTGGGCTCCCCCATCCCACCCCGACCCTGTCAGAGCTCCTGGGCTCCCCAATCCCACCCCGACCCTGTCAGGGCTCCTGGGCTCCCCCACCCCACCCTGACCCTGTCAGAGCTCCTGGGCTCCCCCACCCCACCCCGACCCTGTCAGAGCTCCTGGGCTCCCCCAACCCACCCCAACCCTGTCAGGGCTCCTGGGCTCCCCCACCCCACCCCGACCCTGTCAGTGCTCCTGGGCTCCCCCACCCCACCCCGACCCTGTCAGGGCTCCTGGGCTCCCCCATCCCACCCCGACCCTGTCAGAGCTCCTGGGCTCCCCAATCCCACCCCGACCCTGTCAGGGCTCCTGGGCTCCCCCACCCCACCCCGACCCTGTCAGAGCTCCTGGGCTCCCCCACCCCACCCCGACCCTGTCAGAGCTCCTGGGCTCCCCAATCCCACCCCGACCCTGTCAGAGCTCCTGGGCTCCCCCATCCCACCCCGACCCTGTCAGGGCTCCTGGGCTCGCCCACCCCACCCCTGCCTTGTGTCTGTTTCTGGGTTTGTTATTGTCCCCTGAGGATAGGAGCTAGGAGCGCCGTGAGAGCAGGGCCAAGGCAATTTTGGCCACCACTGTGCCCTTGGCACCCCCAGCACAGCGCTGCTGTGGAGTCAGTGCTACATGAATGTCAGACCCGTGTGGGTGCTAACAGTGCTTGATAATGAGGAGGGCCTGGGCTGCTGGGAGGTGTCTTTCTAGTGGGTGACTTAGAGACGCATGGAGAGAGACACTGAGAGGGGAGAGACACAGACAAGCCATGAAGCGGCAAAGAAGGAACAAGAGATACAAATGAGACAGAAAGACAATGATAGATTAAAAAAAAAATTCATTCACTCATTCATTCATTCATTCATTCTAAGCTCCTGCTCTGTGCCAGTCGCTGTTCAAGGCATCTGGGGACTCAGCAGTGAACAGACAAAATCCTGCCCTCATGGGACTCAAATCCTAGTTGGTTAGAAAAACAATGAACTCAATAAAAATATAAAACATATAGTTTGTGAAATGGTGTTAAGAGCTATGGAGAAAAGCAGAGGGGAGGAAGGGGGCGAGGAGGGGAGGGGCCTGGTGTTCGATAGGATGGTGCGGGGAGGCCTCCCTGAGGAGGTGACTGGAGTGAAGACTGAGGAAGCGAGGGTGGGCGATGCGGACATCCAAGGGAAGAGCATTCCAGGCGGAAGAAACAGCCCTGCAAAGGCCTTAGCTGGGAATATATCCGGCTTATTGAAGGAACAGTGAGAGGCCCCTGTGGCTGGAGCAGGTTGTGAGGGGGAAAGTGGGAGGAGCTGAGGGCAGCGTGGGACGGGCGGATTGTAGGAGCCTTCGGGCCTGTGGGGAGAACTTCGGCTTTTATCACAGGATGTAGTAAAGCCACAAGAGGATGCTGAGCCGGGAGGTATGTGACCGACTCAGGTGTTCACAGGATCTCTCAGAGCACATGTGAGGAACAGGCTGGGGGCAGAGGCGGGAGCAGGGAGAGCTGTCTAGGCAGGAAATGATGGAGGCAGGACCAGGCGGGCTGTGGCTTCGATGCACAGTGAGCAGATTCTTGATCTGTTCAGAAGGTGGAACCAACAAGATTTGCTGATGGACAAGGTGTGCGGTGAGAGAGCAAGAGAGGGGTTTAATGCTCACAGGCATCCATTCCAGTGGAGAGAAACAGAAACAGAGGTACCGACACACAAAGCAGCGACAAAGGCTGCAGGAGGCAGGTAGCGACCGACATAAGCGGTAAGACTAACAGACAGCGACAGACAAAAGGCAGAAGCAGACAGACACTGGGAGAGATGCCAGCTGCGGCCCAGATCTGTTGTCCCCACCCCATGCCTTGCCCACTGGGCTCCCTTTCCACACAGGTGATCGACTTTGGCTCCGCCAGCATTTTCAGCGAAGTGCGCTACGTGAAGGAGCCGTACATCCAGTCGCGCTTCTATCGGGCCCCCGAGATTCTGCTGGGGCTGCCCTTTTGTGAGAAAGTGGACGTGTGGTCATTGGGTTGTGTCATGGCCGAGCTGCACCTGGGCTGGCCGCTCTACCCTGGCAACAACGAGTATGACCAGGTGCGCTACATCTGTGAGACCCAGGGCCTGCCCAAGCCCCACCTGCTGCACGCCGCCCGCAAGGCCCACCACTTCTTCAAGCGCAACCTCCACCCTGATGCCACCAACCCCTGGCAGCTCAAGTCTTCGGCTGACTATCTGGCTGAGACCAAGGTAGGGGGGGGCAGGTGCAATGAGGGCAAGCAGTGGGGGGGCTGCTACATAAAGAAAAAAAATCTAGCCCAGCCAGCATGGCTCAATGGTTGAGCATCGACCTATGAACCAGGAAGTCACGGTTCGATTCCCGGTTAGGGCTGTCAGAGCACATACCCAGGGTTTGAGCTCGGTCCCCAGTAGGGGCCATGCAGGAGGCAGTCGATCAATGATTCTCTCTCATCATTGATGTTCCAATCTCTCTCTCCTTCTCCCTTCCTCTCTGAAATAAATAAAAATATACTTTAAAAAAAGAGTTAACACATATAAAGCACTTTAGAAATTGCCTGTATTTAGTAAGGGTCTGAATCTGAGCTCTGCGCTCCGTCTTCCAAGGTGTGTGACATTGGACAAGTGTCTTTGACCTCTCTGTGCCTCAGTTTCCTCATCTAGAAAATGAGAGGAGAAGAGCATTTACCTCCTAGGTTAGCCTCAGGGAGGTCTGGAAGCTTGGCTCAGCTGTGAGGATTGTCACAAGAGAGATCTGGATGAGACCAACGGTGGGACTGGGAGTTTGAGGGTCACTCTGGGGGCTGCTGCAGCAAGAGGGGTCTGGGTTATACCACAGTGTGACAGAAGGGTAGGTAGCCCCTCTGCCAGCTGCGGATCTGGGGTCAGGCAAACTCGTGCAGTGTGAGGGATCTAAATGAGGCCCAGGGGACTGGATGTTGAAGGCAGCCTGTCTGCCACCTCTGTGGCTACAGTCACACACCTGTGCAGAGTCTGGGAGAGACAGCAGAGGACTGGAAGTTTGGGTCAGCTGCAGGACCTGTCACAAGAGCGGTCTGGGTGAGAACAAAGATGAGACTGAAAGATGTGGCAGCTCCTCTAAGGGCTTCTTGCCTGGGGGTTGCCAAACTAGTGTGGCAAGGAGGTTCAACCACTGGGAGGCCCGGAGGCCTGGGATGGAGTGTGGGAGCTGTAGCAGCAAAAGGGACCCGGGTTTGATTCCAGGAGGACTAGAGGCTTAGGGCGGTTCCTCTGCTAGCTGCCCCCTGGGAGCGGCTGGGCCCACAGCTCCGGGGAGGACTGGAGGTCTGGGGTGAGGTGTGAAACTGAGTGAGTGATAACTCTGAGTTAGATGACAGGAGGACCAAAACACACAGGCAGGTGCACTTCCAGCAGGAACAGGGCTCTAGATCCGACTAGACGCAGCGGTTCTCAACCTGTGGGTCGCGACCCCTTTGGCGGTCGAACGACCCTTTCACAGGGGTCGCCTAAGACCATCCTGCATATCAGATATTTACATTACGATTCATAACAGTAGCAACATGACAGTTATGAAGTAGCAACGAAAATAATTTCATGTTTGGTCACAACATGGGGAACTGTATTTAAAGGGCCAGAAGGTTGAGAACCACTGGACTAGAGGGACCAGGTTTGGCCCTCCCAGCAGCAAGAAGGCTTCAAGTCAGATCACAGGCAGAACTGGAATCAGGATTCAGATGTGTGGACTTCATAGCAACAGGAGAGCTCTGGGCCAGACTGCAGGGCCTGCTGGAAGTTACAGGAGTGACTGGGGCCCAAGGCCTCGGTGTGGTGTCAACCCCTGCCCACTGTGTGTGTCCCACCAGGTACGCCCGCTGGAGCGCCGCAAGTACATGCTCAAGTCACTGGACCAGATTGAGACGGTGAATGGCAGCGGGGCAGCTGGGCGGCTAACCTTCCAGGATCGGGAGGCGCTGGCCGAGCACGCTGACCTCAAGAGCATGGTGGAGCTGATAAAGCGCATGCTGACCTGGGAGTCGCACGAACGCATCAGCCCCAGTGCCGCCCTGCGCCACCCCTTCGTGTCCATGCAGCAGCTGCGCAGTGCCCATGAGACCACCCGCTACTACCAGCTGTCGCTGCGCAGCTGCCGCCTCTCGCTGCAGGTGGAGGGCAAGCCCCCCACGCCTGTGGTGGCTGCTTCGGAGGAGGGGCCCCCCTACTACCGCCTGGCCGAGGAGGAGGAGGCCGTGGGTCTCGGCAGCGTGGCGGGCAGTGGGCCCTTCTTCCGCGAGGAGAAGGCGCCGGGCATGCAAAGGGCCATTGACCAGCTGGATGACCTGAGCCTGCAGGAGGCGGGCCATGGGCTGTGGGGCGAGACCCCCAGTGCGCTGGCCCCACTCAAGGCAGCTGTGGCTGGCCTCCGGGTGCCCGACCCGGGCCCCGAGCCCATCCTGGCCTTCTACGGCAGCCGGCTAGTGGGCCGCCACAAGGCCCGCAAGCCGCCCACCGGCTCCAAGTCCGACTCCAACTTCAGCAACCTCATCCGGCTGAGCCAGGCCTCGCCCGAGGAGGAGGGGCCCTGCCGGGGCAGCGGCTGGGCAGAGGGGGAGCACCGCGGGGCCTCCGCAAAGCCGCCCACCATCCCGAAGCGGGACGGGGACGGGCCGGACGTCAAGGACATGACGATGGATGCTGAGGTGAGTCAGGTGGGCAGGAAGGGTGCAGGTGGTTCTGGGTCAGGGGTGCCCACAGAGCTCAGGGGTTGGGGGTGAACCTGGCCTTGGCTCCCCACACATGTGCTGCCAACAGCTGGTTCAGAGTCCAACACACACTAGCCCAGCCTCGGAACATTACCAGGCTCCACACGCTAACCCACACTCAGGACACAACTAGGATGTGGTGAGGCTCTGCACATACTAACATGCCGTCAGGCTGCGTGAAAACTCAGGGCACCGTCATCCACCTGGAGGAAGTGACAAAGGCCCCGCACATGCTCACCCACCCGCGGAAGATGTGACAGAGCCCCAGCAGACACTAACACACCCTCGGGACACACTGGTCTCAGCACACACTATCGAAGCCCCAGGATGTGACGAGGATTGCAACGGTATAGAATCGTCTTCAGGAAGTGACAAGGGGTCAGGTGGGAAGGAGGGCGTCCATGAGGGGCAGGATGGTGGCTTCTTGGCTGATGCCCTCTCTTCTACCCCACAGAGGCCGAGCCCTGAGCTCTTCGACCCCAGCACCTGTCCTGGAGAATGGCTTAGTGAGCCAGACTGGGCCCTGGAGGGCATCAGGGGCCCACGGGCTCAGGGGCTCCCACACCGCCATACCCACCCACATGGTCCACCCCGGACCACCAGCTTTCTGCAGCATGTCGGCGGGCAGCACTGATGGTGACCCCACCTCTACCCATCACTGGTGGCTGAGCTAGCTGGGCTGGCATCCCTTCCTCAGAGCCATCCCCTGAACCCACACATTCTTACAGAAAGTTATCCAGAAATTCCCATTCCCCCACCCACAGTGCATGCCTGCACATACCCCCAAACACAGGAGGGCCTTGGTGTCTGGCCTGTGACCACCTCGATCAGAGGGGCACAGAGAGGTGGCTGCACCCTGTTGGCCCTGAGCACGTTCTTGGCCCTGCTATCTCTGCCTATTTCAATAAAGAACTGTTCACAGCCCTGCCTCATGCCTGTCCTCCCTGCCTGTCCTCGTGCTGGGGAGGTGGGGGGGCGGGTTTCAGGCTGGTGCCAGGCCTGCTCTCTGATGCTGCACCCAGTTGGCCATTGGCTCAGGCTGGAGGCTGGGCTCCCAGGATACTGGGACAGGCTGTGCTTGGCACACTGACCCAATCCCTAAATATGCACAGTGCCTGGCACACAAGCACACGAGAACAACCCACAGAACACTGTGTCCGGCAGGTGCCCATCCAAGCTTGCCAGATGCCAAGGTCTCACTGTGTGTTTACCTGTCCTTGTCACTACAGGCTGGCCATGCACTTGGCTGGTGCAAATTCACACTTGGTGCATGTGCCAGTGTTCAGACATTCGAGTCCACCCTTGGGCTATGGCGATGGTTCATCTGCTGGGAGCACGCCGAGTATGTGGCACACACTAACCCGTGCTGGCTACAGGACACTCAGCATACACCAAGTATGCCGTCATACACTGCATGCTCAGCACATGCCACCCCATGCCAGTTACACATGCCAGCTTGTGTGGTTACACGCTGAGAGCTCAGCACATGCTAAACTAGTGGGCCTCATGCTGTATGCTCAGCAATGGCAGGCCACCCCTGAAGACTCAGCACATGTCAATCACATGCTATGTGCTAGGTACATTCCAGCACATGTTAAGGGCTCAGTGTACATGCTCATGTCCCCACCAGAGGCCCACGCTGGCTGTCCCCGATCCCGACGACACCCTGCCTCACACCACTCAGTCAGGCAGAGACTGAACAGACAAGTTGTTTACTTATTAGAACCTGGGCCCTCTTTGCTCTGGGAACAGGAGGAGGCCGGGGGACTGGCCCAGCATGCATCCCCACTTCTTCTGGGGCTGACCCCTCCCCCAGCTCAGCTGGGATCTGGGGCCACAGCGTCAGGCGGCCGGGGGCGAAGGGAGAGGTGGGAGAACAAGGGCGTCTGTGGAGCCACAACGGGACAGACAGAAGCAGGGCTACGGGGACAGGGACCACGGCCCAGGGCATCTGGGTGTGTGGGGGCCTTGAAGGCCTCAGCCTGTCTGCTGGGACAGGTCTCAGAGCAGGCGACAGGCATTGCCCACGCTGTCGGCTGAGGCGTCGAGGTCGTGGCTGTAAGGGGAGTCCCAGTCCCTCAGGAAAACAGCCTCCAGCTGGCTCCGCAGGCCGCCCTCCCCGTTCTGTGTCACCAGCAGCGAGGTGCCCGCCGTCTCTGTGAAGTAACTGCCAGACCAGTTGGAGGTTCCTACAGGGCAGGGGGCAGAGTCAGGGCCTGTGGCAGTGCCTGGACCCCTCCCAGCCCTGGCGGTGCTCGGACACTCACCGATGTAGGCGGCGCGCTCGGTCACCATGTACTTGTTGTGGTTCACTCGGGCATATGGGATCCGGGCCTGGGCCTTGTCCGCAGGGACCACAAAGAGTTTCTGGGGGAGAGGGGAGAATGGGAAGCTGTGGGAGGTGCAGTGGGTTATAGACGCCCCCGGGTATGGGGTAGGGAATGGGGACAGGTCCGTAGGATTGGGGAATCCGTGAAAACCACAGGGCCAGAGCAGGGTCTGGAGGGGTGGCTTTCAGGCAACGCTGGCTGGGAGGCCCAATGACTTCATTTGCCACCGTGCCCTCTATAGTGACGCCCAGAGGGGCTCCTCTAGAATGGCCCTGTAGGCCGCACCTCAGATGTCCCATTTTCCAGACAGCCTTCCGTGACCCCTCAGGCTGGGGCAGGTGTGTCCTCTGGGCACTCCCATCCCACCCTCACCCTCCACCCTGCCCCCCCAAACCCGGGCCTCACGCATGGTCTCCCCGTCACCGTGCGGTTCACTCTGGGCTGTCTGTTAGGAGAGCTCCACAAGTACTATGTGCCCGGGACTGCCCAGCACAGGGGCTAAGGAGTGGGTTGTGGCAGGTGCTTACCACCTGGATGTCGGAGTGGGTGTGGTTGTCACGCAGGGCGGCCAGGGAGAGCAGGAAGGCTCGCATGGACGGCTCAGAGTGACCCCAGCAGCTGACCAGCAGGCGCACCTTGATGCCCCGCTCGTAGGCAGCCCGCCGCAGCCCATCATCGATGGCAGGCCAGAACCTTGGGGCGGGGGTGCAGGGTACAGGGTGGCTTTATCCACAAGCCTCACTCTTAGCTTTATGGAGCTCGGCCTGGGCCCTGCCTCAGCTCTGAGAGCCCCCAAACCCTAAGACCACTCATCTCTGACTCCCGGTCCTGTTCCTGCCTCCTTAAATACCACATCCTTTACTCCCTGATTCTGGCTCCCCTTCCTGCACCCCCAACCCGCCCTTTCCATCATCTTGTCTGCTGCTCTTACTACTTTCTCTGAGCCCCCCAACCCTGAAAACTCTTAGCCCCCATTCTTCAGGCCCTCATCTGTCTCCAGCCCATGCTCCCTGCTTCCCACTCCAGAAATCCGACACCCCCTGCCTCTGGCCTCCAGTCCCCAACTCACCCCCCTAACCCCAATATTCTCATCCTTTTCTCTGACCCCTCTGCCCTTGTCTGGAGCACCCAGGCCCCTCTCCCTGTTACCTCTGTCTTCTCTGCCTCTCCCCATCGCTTCACCTCCATCTGTCCCCTTGCCTCGGCTCCACTGCCTGCTTTCTGGGCCCCTTCACTCCCTCTCCCACGCCAGCGGCTCCCTGTCCGCCCACCCAGCAGTACCTGCGCGGGTGGGAGAACTCCATGGTGGGCAGGTAGTTCATGACTGCGATATAGATGAAACTCCGCGCATTGTCCACCACGTTGAGCAGAGCCTTCAAGTCTGGGGTGCGGCCACTCGGACACAGGGGTGGGGGCGCACTCTGGGGGTGAGGGGACAGGTAAGACGTGTGCCATGCCCGGGGTGCCATCACAATGGACCCGTGTACAGGCAGCTTGTCACTAGCCGGGTCCTGCGGTCTTGCTGAATCTGCAGCCTCCAGGAAGGGGAAGGATGCTTATGACGTCCATTTCACAGGTGAGGAGACTGAGCCGCAGAGAGGGTAAGTGACTTGCCTGAGTCACACAGCTGATAAACAGAGCCAGGATTTGAACCAGGCTGTCTGGTTCCAGAATTTATGCTCTAACCCAGTGGTTTAAGACAAAAGGTCCCCGATCCAGCACTAACAGCATCAACTGGGAACTTGTTAGAATTGCAAGTTTGTGGACCTCACTACACATGGCCTCCTGAATGAGGGTGCTGAGGTGGAGCCCAGGAATCCGGTGATATAGCATTCCCGGTGGTGCTCTCTCTCTCTTTTTTAATTGATTTCAGAGAGGAAGGGAGAGGGAGAGAGAGATAGAAATATCAATGATGAGCTGCCTCCTGCATGCGCCCTTCTGGGGATTGAGCCCGCAACCCAGGCATGTGCCTTGACCGGAATTGAACCTGGGACCCTTCAGTCCACAGGCCGATGCTCTACCCACTGAGCCAAACCGCTAGGGCACTCCCGCTGGTTCTGCTGCACACTCAGGTGTGAGGATCTCTGCTCTAATCGCTTTCATCCCTGACTCACTCCCAGGCCCCCCTGAGGGCACCCCTCGTGTGCCCACGCCACACCAGGCCCTTTACCCAGCTCTCTCCAGCCTCAGGACAGGTGAGCAAACTCAGGTTCTGAGAGGGGGAACCCTCAATTCCCTGTGGGAGACCACTGGAGTACAGGACCCCAGCATCCATACACCGTGTATGGCCCCCCCACAATGACTGGGCTTGGCCAGGTGACTTGTTTGGGGGGACTGAAGGGGACGAGGTTGGCCACCCCAACTAGTGAAAATATCAATAGCTAAAAAGAGACTCTCATAGCCAGTTAGCCTGGAGGTCAAATCACCCCTGGTATTGCCGACAACAATCAAGGCTTAATTACAACAAGACTGCGCACAAAGACCACTAGGGGGTGCACCAAGAAAAGATAAAAAAAATGCGGAGACAAAGAAACAGGACACAAATGTCAGAAATGGAAGATATAGAGCTCAAAACCACACTTTTAAGGTCTCTCAAGAACTGTCTAGAAGCTGCCGATAAACTTAGTAAGGCCCTCGAAAAGACTGGTGAGACCGCCGATAAATGTAGTGAGATCCTCAAGAAATCTAATGAGACCCTCGATGTTGTGATAAAGAACCAACTAGATATTAAGCATACACTGACTGAAATAAAGAATATTATACAGACACCCAACAGCAGATCAGAGGAGCGCAAGAATCAAGTCAAAGATTCGAAACGTGAAGAAGCAAAAAACACCCAACTGGAAAAGCAAAATGAAAAAAGAATCCGAAAATACGAAGATAGTGTAAGGAGCCTCTGGGACAGCTTCAAGCGAACCAACATCAGAATTACAGGGGTGCCAGAAGATGAGAGAGAGCAAGATATTGAAAACCTATTTGAAGAAATAATGACAGAAAACTTCCCCCACCTGGTGAAAGAAATAGACTTACAGGTCCAGGAAGCGCAGAGAACCCCAAACAAAAGGAATCCAAAGAGGACCACACCAAGACACATCATAACTAAAATGCCAAGAGCAAAAGACAAAGAGAGAATCTTAAAAGCAGCAAGAGAAAGAAACCCAGTTACCTACAAGGGAATACCCATACGACTGTCAGCTGATTTCTCAACAGAAACTTTGCAGGCCAGAAGAGAGTGGCAAGAAATATTCAAAGTGATGAATACCAAGAACCTACAACCAAGATTACTTTATCCAGCAAAACTATCATTCAGAATTGAAGGTCAGATAAAGAGCTTCACAGATAAGGAAAAGCTAAAGGAGTTCATCACCACCAAACCAGTATTATATGAAATGCTGAAAGGTATCCTTTAAGAAGAGGAAGAAGAAGAAAAAGGTAAAGATACAAATTATGAACAACAAATATGCATCTATCAACAAGTGAATCTAAGAATCAAGTGAATAAATAATCTGATGAACAGAATGAACTGGTGATCATAATAGAATCAGG